CATGTACACAGAGGATGACAGATATTGGCAGAAAAAAAAAACTCGGATCTGAGACGGATCGGGTCCGAGTTCACAAAAACTTGAATCCACAGCTTGCTAATAGCTACACATATGCTGACTTAGTTGAACATAGCAACCATGTACATTTTTGAATTTTATTTTCAAAAATAGTTTTTCAATAAGCCATAATTCCGAGAGTACATTGAAATATCGATCAATGATTGAGAATAGAGTATCTTGAACAACTCTAATCGAGATTCAATATAATTAGATTTCAAAAATCTTTCCAACTTGATTCAGATAATATATGTTACGAGAACTACGTTTTCAAATTTAATCGTACTTTCCGACACATTTGAAATTAGTGAGTGATAATTAATACTTGCAGAAAGTTCTACTGATATATTATTAGTTGAAATTATTGTAAGAGTTCTACATGAGAGATAGTATTTATCAAAATTTCTGCTTCATTTTTATGCTACAGAAAGTAATTGAGAGGCACAAAGCAAACTGAAGAGAATCAATATGTTCTAAAGCTTTGCAAAAAGATATTTTCTTTAAAAATTTTAACGACCTAGCATTAGTGAATAAGATTGATCGATTGAAATTCTGAGTTATCATGTGTAATTTAATTGCATAACTTTTCACATCTAGTTCATAGCGATTGAAAGAAAAGTGTTTTCCAAATAATAATTCAGTAATTCTAATTAGGTTTCGTTCTTTATTATCTATTGCAGTGAACAACATCGTGAACAATTATGTTGCCCATTGGTTTCTCTAAGTTCCATTAACTGTTCGCCTGATAACATTTTGTTTAATACCTTTGAAAAAAAAATTATTTGAAACATAAAAAAAAGATAATTATAAGATACTTTTTCTGGTGTTGTACTTTCACTACTAATCCATAAATGTATCCAAATATCAGATCGAGAATCTAATCGATAAGTGAAACTACGATTTCTCGCCAAACGATTCGTTTTTTCTATGAGCCATTTGTATATCGTATCAGTTTCAGTTAATATATAGTTAATATCAGTATGATCGTTCATAATATGAAATGATCCACTCGATAAATGCATAAATCGATCAATTATATCTGTCATTTGATGAAGACTATTGATTCCGATTGTTAAACGTTCTATACACGGAAATAGAGAAGATAAATCAATGTTGTCATTCTTGAATGAACATGAAAACTGAGGCAAATCTATTATACGAATTTGTTCTAGTGGATAAATATTATCAGAAAGTTGTATCATAGAAAAACTAAAATCAATTTTTAAGTGATATAAACTAGTCATGGATGTTTTGATGATTTGAAAGAGTTTCTTCAATGGCCATGATAATGATTTCACACATAAATATTCTACTTTAGAAAGATCAATTATATTTTCATTAATTTTTGTTATTGATAATATCAATCGTTGAACATTAGTATATCGATAAGATGATTTATCATTTGAATCAAGTTCTAGTTCATTTATCTGATCATAATAAATAGAATATTGTTCGACAGGAAGTGTTGTTGAATGTGGTAAAATTGATAATAAAGAATGTTTTGTTGTACGAGGAACAAAACGAGGAATAGTATAAAGAATAAAATCATCAGTATTATATTCCACATACCACGCTGGATATCTATTGAGCCAAAATGCACTAGAAAATTGCGTGAGAATATTCTTTTCATTGTAATTATTCCAGTCAACATTTATTATTTTAAATTTAAAATTGAATATAGAAAGAAACGACAAATGTTTTTTAATGAATATTTCCCATTGACTTCCTTCTAGTAAATTGCTACTTCCACCAGAAGAAACGATGAGTTCAAGTTGTTGAAGATAAGGCATACGTGAAAGAAATCGTTCGAATAAAAGCCGTGAAATCGTTCGAGCAAGAAAAACAAAGAAACATAATTAATTCAATTTAAAGTAAACTTTTTTTTTGTAAAACAGAATCTAAAAGGAGTACTGAAGTTTAGGGATAAAAATTTGGATCCTCTCTCATAGACCATCACAGACTGTATATCAATACCGTCTCTTTATAATTTAGGTATTACTTCCTTATTACCTTTCTCAAAGGTTAATTAAAAGGATGGCGAAGAAATATGTACCAAAATAGATAGAATAAAACTATCTTTCTGTGATCAAGTAGTTTTCAACTTACTAAATGTCTGAATGGACATTGTAAGATGATTAACAATAAGAGGTGTCTCTTGATGTTGTTCAGCAAAGTAATCAATACCAGTGCAATCAGAAATAATCAATGAAATATTAAGTGAAGTAAGTTTAGAGGCACAAGAAAGAATTTGACGTAATTGAACGTATGAACAATAAGGCAAAGTAAGATTGCGTAAATGAGAAAACGAAATCGAATGAAGTAAACTTTCATGATTATAATCGTTGTCAGCATATTTATTTATTATCAATTGTTTGAGTCGAGATATTGTTTCAATCATCCAAAGATGAGATAGTGTATCTGTTTCAAAATAATTAAGGTATTTTAGCTGACGAATATTAAAGAAAAGTGAATGACAGTCATTTTCAATGTCAGATAGTGTAATTGCACGAAGATTAATGAATTTTTCGATAGGAAAGAGTGATAAAAAAGTTTTCGATTGACTTGGAGTTTCATTACTATCGGATAAAACAAGTGATGTAATTTGATTTGGTTGAATAAAACGACAAACTAAATCAAATTGTTGTTTTAAGATTGATTTAAAATTAACATGATAATTCTGATAGGTTAAGAGAATATTATTAAAATAATTGCTAATATTAAGAAATGAATAAAGAATATCATGAGCCCAAAGAAAGTCAAAAATAGTAAAGATGATTTCTTTAGGTAATAAATCAAGAATAAATAAAAGTCGATTATCAGATGAAGAAATCATTGTAACAGATGTTTAAATTTTTTTCACATCTAGAGCAATCCTACAAAACATATTAAACTACGTATGTTTACAACATTTGAATAGAACTACAACTATATAAATCGAATTTTGAATACGATTAGGATCGTACAGATGTAAACGATGACGACATATCACCGACATGATTGTTGCTAAAGGTGAACATTGTTTTTCTAAACATATAAGTTATAAAATGGAGAAAGTTTAATCTTTACATGATCATCTGAAATCCATGCGGACTCCAGCTAATTTCATTCGAGAAGGAAACAGCAGACTTCAAGACTGAAGTCTTTGCTGCTTCGTCCCTGATTTCATCATACTGTTATAAGTAAACAATATTATATGGAACCGCTCATCTCTCCGATATGTTCTTGTGAAGACTAGTCACGTATGCTGATAATATCCACCAGTTAATCTCAACTATTATTTATGTGTATAGACCGTCCAGAAGTGCATGTGAGCATATATTTCAAGCTAGCTTCTTTTTTTGTTTGTTCTTCTTGTAATCAAGTTCTCACCTATATTCTTCACATGTCCATGCTAAGCTAGTCAAATTTTGTGTATTATATTTATTTTGTCTATTGGTGTCTGCACGGATCTAAGTGGATAATAAATGGTAGTCGCGTCAGATTTAATCTATCAATAAAGAACTTTCAGTTAAGAATGGATGGAATAGATAAGTTTTGCGACTGAATAGTAATCTATTTTCTCGTATTATTTTTTTTACTTTATAAAAAATGGATAAATAACCAATATGAATGCTAGAAGATAATCTACTTGTTTTTTTTTGTTGACAAGACAAATATTTATTCATATTGAGTTCTGACTAAACTTTCGAGGAACCATTTTATACTACACTATGTCAATGATGTCATATGTATTTTTGTTTGTCTTTAATTTTGCTCTGTTATATCTCTAGTAATACTTGCAAAAATCACCAAATACGAACAATCTTGTCATACCTTTTTTTTCCAATTTTTGCTCTATTTAGCATTATTGGTTAAGCATTAATGAATAAGTTAGTTAAGAAGATAAAGAAAAAAAGTCAATAATAAACCTTATCCTTTTTTTCTACATGCCAGGTTGAGAATTTTTTTCTTACGGATAGTCAATAGTTGGCTGTCTACTTGGGTTTCATTCTCTAATTCTTTTTCACCAGTTTAGTCTAGGCTACTTCTAACCAGTAAGGAGCGGAGGAATAAAAAAACAGTATCGTTAGGGGTCGATAGCGATCGCAAAACTATTTTTTTTCTTCACGTTTGAGTTTTCTTTGCTTGAGATTCGCCGAGTATGTGTACAAAAACAATAAGAAAGCCATGTATAAAACAGGTCAGGATAAATATAACCCATATTCATTCGCTTATTGATTCTATACTATTCTTATTTTATTAAAAACATTCCATTGTGCTGAAAAATTTCGAAAATATGACTTGCTGAAAGAACTAATTCTGCTCTCTTGTCTATCTGTTGCACAGATTCTAGCAAGTAGAAATGATCTAATTAGACATCGTTACACATTACATTATGAATAATATTGAATATTGTAAATACATACTGGATAATTATTATTATCTAAGACACGATTAGCAATTCATGCAACATGTTGTCTATTATCATAATCATACGGATGTTCTTCTGTATAAACCATATGTACTGTTTCACATTCGTTAGATGTATATCGTACGTATGATCGATGTTTTCGTGTTGATGGAATGTTTGTACAAGCATTATTATCCAAGTTGTTCCAAGATCAACTGAGTAAATATATGATGGTCTGTAGGAACCGTCCAAGCCTCACAAAATAAGTTATCAATTCGATTCGATTCATTTAGTGGAAGGAATAGATTTGCATATGTAAGCTCGTTAGTTGATGATGATGTATAAAGTTGAACTGGACTGAATTGATGAAAAGTATTTTCATTAATAGGAGAAATGTGCAAATAATTATATGGTTCTATGTTATGTTTTGCGTAGAAAATAAGCAACCGACCATCAGATCTTATAAGTGAAGCAGGTCCATCATGAATACATAATTCAAATTGTTTATGTAATGTCACATAATCTGTAATCTAAGTCGAACAATCACGAGTATGAAGTTCAATATTGCCATGACGTTTTTCATCATGACCATCCAATGCAACTGATCCTTTCAAAAGGGAAGAATCATATTGAAGAGCACCTAGAGATTCAAACCAACACCACTCATCATCATCACTTAATATGAATGTTTCATCCGTTTGACCATCCATGTTTCTCATTATATTCTTTGACATAAGAAAAAAGAACGAACTCATTTCGCTAATCAAAAGAAAAGACAAGGCAGCACTGTAAACATTGTTGATTTCGAAAATTCCAAAGACTTTAAAAAGAGTTTCAAAGAACTAAATGAAGTTCAAAGCATCTAAAAGATTAATAGAACCACAAAAAATTTATTTATATCTTTTCAATAAAACATAGACACGATCTTAATCGTCAGATAATTATATACTAGAATCTTTTTTGATCGATAAATCAGCATTAAATTCAACGAATTTCATTGTTTTCTGTTTCAAACAGAATAACCTACTCTTTCATTCTAATAGAACTTTTTATTGATAAATATTTCTATTTTCAACACGCACGTCAATAGTTGACAAAGCGAAGTTTTTAAATTAATTATGACACGAAAATCAAAATTTGTCAACTTAAAAAAGCTCAATCTGTGATAATTTGACGAGTATATTGATAATAAACATATTTTTAAAAAATCAAAATTCATAATCTCAAATTATATCTGCGAAGAAGCCCTGCTGCATCAAGCATACAAAGTTTGCACATTGACTAATTTAGAAAATATTTTCTTCATGTAAAGTATTGAAAACAAAGCAGATTGATGCTTTCATTAACTAAATAGTTTTATGATTGTGATTAACTCAAAAATAATGAGCTTTTTCAACAAACAACACTATCTTATCGTGATAAAAAGACAAACGAACGGAACTCATTACAACTTGCTGAGTAGACAAATGTTTTGCGTTATATATCACGAGTGTAAGCGTGTATATCGGTTGAAATATGGTCAAAGTGCCAATAAATCATAAAGAAACAAATAAAAACAAAGTGTGTCTAGTATGAGAACACAAAAAAAAGAAAAAAATTATTTCTAGCACACCATATTTACAAGTGTCACCTGTTCTTCTGACAACTCTCTTCGGTATTGAAGACAAGAAATAAAGTGTAATATTGGGAAAGAATTTTTGCAATGTCTAGGAAATTCTTTCTCTCATTTATCATAGTATCCTTTCATTAAAAAGGAGAAATAACTCTTCTGGACCGCCACTGTTTTTTTTATCTTTCGTAGCGAGAAAACAACCAATAAGATTGAAATTATCTTTGAATATTTGATGTACTTCTTACTGTACACAATCATTCATTTTAGAACATACTGATTAGGTCATTTCCAAAAATTTATTTAAGTATTTCAAAAAGACGAAACTAATTTTCATATTTGTGAATTTTATCACATGTCAACCCTGCTGAATGTTTATGTTCAATTAAAAATTCAAATCATTCTTGCATGAATTAGATCTTGTTGGATTCAGTTTTTTTCCAAGTTTGCTGATATGACCAATCGTAATGCACTTTGATATAGTTCGAGTTAAAAACTCGACGACTGACCAATTGCTGATGATCATATGTATAGCAGCATCATTATACTTATTTTTATGATTTTGTAAACCAGTCAAACATTCAAGCTAGTAAAGATTAAATTTTATATATCATCCTTTAATAGAAACAACTGAAAAAAGTAGAAGAAAAATCGTTTCAGAATAATTATATAGAAAAAGATTAATTTATTACAATCTCTATTTCAATTTTATTATCAAACAGTGTGTTTCCATTGTAGAAATAGAAAATGAACAATGAATAGTTACGTATGAATATGATATTAACGTAGATTAATATTTGATTGTGCGTCTTCAATTGAATATCAAACTACTTTTTCATTTTGTCTTTTAAGTTACGAATATTGTTTTCGGTCCTAATAACATTCTCATGAGTGGGTGGTAAAATTTTGCGCATAATTCCAATCGATTTTTCATAGTATTCTAGTGCCTTTGAATACTTTCCTTTCGATTGATATAATGTTCCTAGATTATAGTAGATTACAGCAATGTCTGGATGATTACTAGGCAAGACAGCTTGTTGAATCTTGAGAGTCTTGGTATAATAATCTAGACCCACATCAGTATTCCCCATCCGTTCGTATGTGGCCGCTATGCTATTGTAAGTCTCAGCGAGAGCAAGAGAATCAGAGGGGAGTGTTGCTTCTTGGATTTCGACTGCTTTTTTTAAATTAGACAAAGCTTCGTCATAATCGCCTTTCAGGTACCAGTGTATATCGCCGATCCAATTATAACATTCTCCAACGTCTGCATGATCTTCTCCTAAAAGACTTTGTCTTATATATAATGCTTCTTTGAGATGTTTAAGACTTTCATCAGCTTCATTGCACCGACAATAGGCTTTACCCAAACCTAAAGCTGCGTTTCCACTAATAAGTTGAGTCTCATCTAACATTCTTCTATAGCATTTTCGTGCTTGTTCGTATTCACCCATCTTTAATAGAATTTTCCCTAGAGAATCCAAATCCGTATCATCACCAATTGTATTTTTCATGTAAGAAAATGTTTCTTTCAAATGATAATCATCTTCGCTTGCTAGTGAAACACGAGCTACCCATATTCGTTCCTTTTTATCTTCATTTACTTGTTCAATTCGAAACAAAGCACCGAGCATAATCAATATTTCATCTTCTTTTTGAAAATAACTGATTTGAGTAATGTCAGCAAAAGCTTTCGTTTCTAAACGCGGATCAATTTCAATTTCGAATATAATTTGTTGCAGATTATCTCGTTTAGGAGTAGCTCGAGCAAAATCAAGAGCAGTTGATCGATCATGAGTTGTCGATAGAAAAGAATTCATTGAAAGAAATTCACCAATGCTATTCTTCATTAATTCAAGTTCATCATTTCCAATTATTTGACCACGATAAACACGAATAATATTTCGATTGTCACAAGTACGAATAAATTTTTCATGCTTACTCTTGATCTGTTTGGAAATATCGGTAATGAAGAATCGAAAAGCAAATAACATATCAAAATCTTGTACACGTAATGCTTTATTCATCATACGATAAAAACATGATTCACGTGTATACCACCAAATTGCATTGTCTGCTTTATAAGTTTTTTCAAATTCATGGATAGTTTTCATCTCTTGATGATTATCCTTATAACTCTTCTTACAAATGTCTAAAAGTTCCTTGCGATCATTCGATTTATGATGCATACGAAGAAGAACTTCAATAAATAATTGGAACCACATAAAGATAGCATTACGAGCTTGAAGAGATTGAGAACCAGAAGTAATTACCGATATTGAAGCACTATCTTCTACTTTATTTCGACTCATTTGATCTTTGGATATTCTAGTAACAAGTTTGGTGCGGTCAACAAAAACGCCATTGACCTGAAATATTTAAGTGAAAAGAAAATAAGAATCCGATTGTTATCAAATATTTAACCTTATGATATTTATTAGCCCATTGTTCGTTTCTTTTTTGATCTTGACAAAAGACATAACATGCAGAAAATTGTGGAAGATCATGAAGTCGATGTACTATATCTTGACCTAATGAACCTGATACGATAAGTACAACTTTTTCTTTTGTAATTTGTCGAATGTATTTTTCACATTCATCACTTTTATCATATGTTCGAAGATGATTGATCACTTGACGAAGTTCTTCCTGAGTCGCCAGATTATCTTGTGTTGAATTAACATTTTGATCAAGCCACAAACATGCAAACGACTCAAGATTAGGATTCATCGATTGGTCGACAGGTTTTGTTGAACTTGATGTTTTAGTTGATTGATTTTTGCTAGTAGCCATTAAAATTAAAGGAGACTTGGAAAAAAAATCCCACTTTTATTTTTATTTTTATTTTTCTTTTAAAACAATATGATGTTCGATGTGCTCGCTTAAATATACTGTCAGATGAAGTATGTTTCTTCTTTATTCTTGCACAACAGACGAAAAATCACTCTTCACATACACATTGCGATAATGTTGACACAAGCCATGTGAATAATAATAACAACAATCGACAGTTCCACCGAGGAAAAAGAAAAGAGTAACGATCAAGGTGAATCGTAAGATTGAAATTTTCTTAAAACGTAGATAATGAGTAGATACACATAGTTTTCAAGTGATGACTTCCCCTATCAAAAAATTCATATTGAACAGCTAATCTTATCTAATACATTTTAAAACCCGTGTCATATCATTTTAGTAATTGCGACGCAGTGACATCGTAACTGGAATCGCACTGTGACTCGTAATATGCGAAACATTATGATGCAGTTGCGCGCAGTTACGATAGAAAAATTTTAGTAACGTGCAATTGCGACTTTTCTCATCTTAACTATGCGTAACAGAGTCACAGTTTTTGGATGTGGTGTGTAGCTGTGCATGTGGATATGGGTGTGGATGTTATGGCAAGTAGAGCATTAACACCCACATCCACATCACACACATCTCACATCACTTAAATCGGTTCTGTCGCTTTTATCTTTAATGTCTTTTTTTACAGACGTTTCTGTTTTGTGCATTAGCGGCAAAATCAAATTTCCCATTAATTCAGTCTATTCTAATTTTTGTTGAGAAGATTGAATTGATATTTGACATGAGTTATTTCTCTGATTTTATTTTATTTAATATTGATAATTCATAATTTATTAACAAAAATTAGTGATGTCTCGTATCTATGCCTGTGATGGTTTCTGATCAAAGAACTGAACTAGCATCAATGAGCCAGTTTTTTTAAAAATGAAAAATTTCGAAAATATGACTTACTGAAAAAACCAATCTTACTCTTTTGTCTATCTGTTACACAGACTCCAGCGAGTAGAATAGATCCAATTAAAGACCGTGACCTTTTTCGAACAAAGTAGCATCATCGAATATAAAAAAAGAACTCTGGATTTTTATATAAAAAATCAACATAGTCTTATATAAGCACTTTCTTATGTAGAAACTTTCAGAACAGGATATGCTCCAAAATTCAGACTGTTCGTCACTTTATATTTATTCATGTGGCAGTTTTAAGTTGTGGAAGACTACTACATAATAACATCCAATTGATATCAATGTTTTAAAGGAATATATATATGATACTACTCTTTAATTTTTTTGTGACATAAAATTCAAACAATCGAATCTGACAACAACAAACTTCAAGATTTGTAAGACTTTTTTAATTAATCTCAGTACAAGGGAACGAATTGATTTTTTGAACATATCATATATACGAAATTTCACAACAAATGCAGAACTTTATTTGTGCTATTCAATGTTACATTTTGTTTTTAAAATAAAACTAAACAATTGATCAAAATATAATTAATAATGATTGACAATTGAATCTAACTCATTCGTTAAGATGACATTAAAACCTCTTTCGTATGAGTACCATCAGAATCGGACAAAGATGCTTATTATTGGGAGATTTTCAGTTTCTGTTTTGCAACATATAAGTATTCAGTTTTAGTCGTTTGTCGACTGCACAACTTAATCTTTTTCTTTTTTCCAACAATTAATTAATTCAACATTTTTTAATCAGAGGTAAATCAATTCATGTTGACACGATATGATGTTACTATCTCTTAATTAGGGTGTGGGTATGTATGGCTGTAACTGTGAGTCTTAATATGCACCGCTCTTAGATCAACACCCACACCCTCAAATTCTACATTTTTTGCAAATTTTTGTACGAAAGTCATAATAGTAACCCATAAAAATTTTGAACGCTTGGACAGTTTAGAAACCTCAGTAACTTCTATTACGATGGAGGGAAGGTTATTAACTTTCGCAGGAGATCTTCTAGTACAAGCGGAGAAGTCAATTGATCAATTGAAAATTCTATTAATATTTAAAATATACAAAATAAATGTCAATCAATATTGTTATCTTTTTTTTTTAAATACCATTATGACGGATGAATTAGACAATACTTTACAACGTTAATAACACACTCAATCGATCTTTGTCACTTACAAATAACGTTATATGTTATCATGACAAACAAATCTTAATTGTCTTATCGTTGGCACGTTTACTGATTCTATCTTCGATGATCTTTTAGTCTATAAAGCAATTAACATGCCTATCGATTTCCTATCAGTACTAATACATTCGTCGTTATCACTGTAGATTCTTCATGTGCTCACCGACTTCACTGTTACATTTCTCATTCGATCGAACATTCTGATTAAATTTGCTCAAGAAATATATAAATTCAATAAGAACAAAGAAAAATGTGCAATGAATTTTATTTCTTTTGATATAAGTCAATAAATGACAATCATTAGATTAAATCTAATATCTTGAAAAATAATTTATTAGAGAAAAATGAAAGAGCAACAGTAATCATACAAGGATAGAGTAAATCAAGAATGATAGGACAAAAGAAAAAGATTTCGCGATCAAAAAAAAAAACCAAAACAAAATAAGAAATATGAATAATAAATTGTTCAATATTATTCGCATAAACGATAAGCAGTCGATTGTGTACCACTTAATGATTCATTTATTTCAAATATATACGCAATACATAATAATAATTCATCTGTATCTTTTGATATAACTGTCTAAATAATAAAACATGAATTAAAAACTAAAAAAAAAATAAAATCCAACAAAACGCACTTGAAGTACTCCTAAACGTTCAAGTACAATATTCATCATTTCACGTATATACATTCCTGTTTTAAGTTTTTTTATAAAATCAATCATAAAATTACACATTGTTGTATCAATTGAACGATGAATATATTTATTATTAATATCATTATATTTTGTTGTACCATTCTAGAAAAAAAAATAATTTTTGTAATTTTTTCTTTATAATTATTTTTTATTTACTTCAATTTTTTCAACAATTGTTTTACCGAATGAACATACTTTTGTTGTTATATATAAATTCATATTATCTTCGAAACTTTCAAAACTAAACAAAAAAAAAAAAAGAAAATAGTTCAAAACAAAAGAATGTAATAAAAAAAAAAACTTTAAATCTTCTTTTACGCAGAAAAATAATGATATGTATCAGTTGAATTTTCTTGATAATCCATATTGACCTATAACAAAAAAAAAACATAGTAAAAATAATTGAATATAAATAAATCTTAGTCTTACCCAAACTTTAACAACATAAAATGCATCTTTGGATCCTTTATTATAAAGTTCTTTTAACATTGGAAATAAATCAATAATTTGGCTCACTTTGATACGCTTTACAAAAAGAAAAAACAACCATCGATAAATTATACAAATATGTACAGTCCTGGATAAAAGTAGTTACTCTCCATGAAATCCTGTTAGTCTTTATTATATTGAGCTGATATTTTCGGGTGAATGTGCGCAACAATAAACCCTATTCGCAAGCAGTAACTCGCTCTCCATCGATTCACATATCATCAATTTATCTCAACTATTCTTTCAACCTCTGATTCGAAAAGTCATTGTCGTAGCTATCTCTAGTGCAAATATTGTTAGAAATAACTAATTCGAGTTCGGCGGTTCCAAAAAACTGAAATCAAAACTGTTAAATCATCAGATAGGTACAAAAATTCTTTAAATCTTATGTCGAGAAATTTTCATCTTTTCATTCTTGAGATTAAAGATTTCAGTATAATAGTGAAAATTTCGTATGTATTCGATGACTTAACGATTCCAGTTTCGGATAATTTTTGGAATCGCCAAATTATAATCCCAACTGGAAAAAAACCCTTTTGAGTCGAGACTACATACATTATGTAGAACCAAATAAGCTATGAATATCCTGAAAAGAGTTTGTGTCCGTAGATTATTGCTACGAAAATACGGCACTTATGCCGTGTTTTTTAAATGAATGCAATACTAACAGAAAAAAAGAATTTTCGAATTTCGACTTAAAACTTTGCGTAGAGACCGATCTTGATAAGAATAGGTTTTTGTGAAAGTTTTAGATCTTTTTGCAGTCCCTATCCTGAGATATAACTATGGTAATAACATATCTTCTACATCGCTCATAAAAACCGACAGGTATGATGTTCTTATTTCAGGATAGAACCAAATCAAAAGAGCGGGAAGATCAAATCAAAATTCGAAAACTAGTTTTCCGTAGTGTTCTTGAGTTTTCAGGATATTTATAGCTCATTTGGATATACATGATGTATGTAGTTTCAACTCAAAGGCGATTGAACGGTTGAGGTACTCTTCCCGTGAGATATTATCTTCTCGTTAAGAATGTCTGTTGAACAGCGAGCGAATGCTGGCTTTTAGTAAAATGGATCTTTTCCATGATGACTTTGACTAATTTATTTGAAAATTTTAGTAGAAATTTCCCATAAGAAGACGAATCTATTCTCAAAGCTTTTGAAGCGGCAACATTGAACTAAGTCGAGTTAGCGTTACAACATGGATTTCTTATCAAAGAGCGTGCTAATTACTAAGATCTTGCCTATGTGTTCCGGACTTTGTTGATAATAAAATCAACATATGGGGCTGCCTTTTACGCTAGAAAAAAAACAGTAACAGCTTGTGGAGCAGCAAATGACAAAACTTTTTGAGTGCATATTTCCATTGAATATGTTTTTTATAGGGGAAAAACTATGTGTGAATCATAACTCCAGTATATGTGAACTGATGGAGAGCAAATTTATTATCATACGCATACACCAAAAATATCAACTCAAAATCATAAAGAATAGTAGAAATTCATGGAGAGTAGCTACTGTTTTATTCAGAATCTTATAACTAATTCGATTAACTTACTTCAGATTTCATATCAGTACCAGCTTCTTGACTGATATGAACTAGATAATGTCTCTATAAAGAAAATATTTTTTTTA